CGGGGGGCCCCCCTCGGGGGGCCCCCCCTGGGGGCCCCCCTGGGGGGCCCCTTGGGGGGCCCCTGGGGCCCCCAACATCTGCGGGGGCCCCCATACAACCTGCTGACTGGGGGCCCCTGCTGCAGGGGGGAGGGCCTGCTGAGGCGCTCATAGCCAGACACGGCGACGAAGATACACACAACCTGCAGCAGCAGCAGCAGCAGCAGCAGCAGCAGCAACAGCAGCAGCAGCAGCAGCAGCAGCAGCAACCTGCAGCTACCCATAAACACCTTCCACTCTGCCCGCAGACATCCGCCCCTCAGCGCATGCAGCAGGAGACAGATCGCCACGCATACGAACAGCAGCAGCAGCAGCAGCAGCAACAGCAGCAGCAGCAGCAGCAGCAGCCGCAGCAGTTTGGAGGTATACACCAGCTGCAGCTGCAGCAACAGCTGCACCTCACTCCTGGCTGCCCTCAGGGGGCCCCTGCTCAGCCCCCAAGAGTTGAAGAGGGGGCCCCTGGGGGCCCCCCTGGGGGGCCCCCTGGGGGGGGCCCTGGGGGGGCCCCTGGGGGGGCCCCCGGGGGGCCCCCAGCGGCGGCTGTGGGGCCCCTGGTGGTGCAGAGGCACAGAGCGTCAACAGACCAGGCTGCTGCTACTGCTGCAGTGGTTGCTGCTGCTGCAGCAGCAGCAGATGCAGCAGCAGCAACGCGACCCGGTGAAGACAAGAGGGGGCCCCCACACAGTGAGGGGGCCCCCCCCGCAGCTGAGGCAACAGAAAGAAAGAGAAAGAGCACAGCGAGGGCCCCCGTGTCTTCTCGGCGTAAAGTTGCTGCTGCAGTCTGTCCCCAGCAGCAGCAACAGCAGCAGCAGCAGCAGCAGCAGCAACAGCAGCAGCAGAATCAGCAGCAGCTGCTGTGGCAGCAACCTGATATAGCTCTGCTGCTGCGGCAGCAGCAAACCATGCAGGGCCTCCCGGTTAGTGGGGGCGGGGGGGCCCCATCGCAGCAGCAGCAGCTGCTGATTCTGCAGCAGCTGCTGCAGCAGCAGCAGCTGCTGCAGCAGCAGCCACAGTGGCAGCTGCCGCTGCAGCAGCGGCAGCTGCTGCCTTCGCATGCACCGCAGGAGCAGCAGATTGGGGCGCATGTGCTGCCGCAGCAGCAGTCATCTGGGGCTCCTGCTGCTGCTGCTGATGCTGCAGCAGCAGCAGCAGCAACACCTGCCGCTGCTGCTGCTGCTGCTGCAGCAGCAGCACCGCAGCAGCAGCTGCAGCAGCTGCTGCAGCTGCACGAGGCTGCTGTGCATCTGCAGCAAAGAGAATTAGGTTTATCTATGCGCGAGCTGGAGGCCCTGTATCTCCCCCTGCTGTGGAACAAAAACAGCAGCAGCAGCAGCAGCAGCAGCAGCAGCAGCAGCAGCAGCAGCAGCAGCAGGTGGAGCACACCAATGAGGAGATATAGTTTTTATAAAGTAGTAAAGGGGGGGGCCCTGGGGGCCCTCGGTGAAGGGTGCTGGATGGTGTGGCCCGCAGAGAGACAGGACGCCAGCAGCCTGCGGCTGCAGCAGCAGCTGCAGCTGCTGCTTGCATGCACATACGGGGAGAAGAAGCAGCTGCTGCTGCTGCAGCATATATGGTGTACAGGCACAGATGCAGCAGCAGCAGCAGCAGCTACTACTACTACTCCTGCTCCTGCTCCTGCTGCTGCTCCTGCTGCAGCAGCAGCAGCAGCAGCAGCAGCAGCAGCAGCAGCACGAAAGACAACAGAAATAACAAATACTGCTATGCTGCTGCCGCCTCCCTGCTGCTTCTCCTGGGCAGCAAAAAAGAGAGGCATCCCTTTTGTATGGAAACGAATAGCAAGCGAGCAGCAGCAGCAGCAGCAGCAGATGTTGCTGCAGCAGCAGCAGCAGCAGCAGCAACAACTCCTGCTGCAGCAACACGGAATACAACACACACCATACTCAGCTGCCTTTCTTGATCCTTTCTAATTACCACCATATCTCTATCTTCTTTTATTCTGCAGCAGCAGCAGCA